GTGTGTGTGTGTGTGTGTGTGTGTGTGTGTGTGTGTGTGTGTGTGTGACTAGAGAGATTTGGGAGAGGGGAGAGGGGCTTGATTTGGGTTCAAACAAATGCATCCCCCCCTCCCAGCAACCAGAATGCTTTCTGGACCTTAGGCTTTCCCTGCCCAGCTCTCTGATAATCCCCTTCCCACATCACCCAGTCCTGTCCAGTCCAGTCCCGTGGAAAGGGGGGCGGGGCGGCGGCTCAGGGCTGAGTTCGAGGAAGAGCAGAAGGGTGAGTCCCCCTCTTGCCCCCACTTCAGGGGCCGAGTACAATCCCAGTCTCTGCCCACCTTCCCGGCAGGCTGTTCGGGCCCGGGCTCGCCGGCCCCAGGGCGGCGGCGGCGGCGGCGGCGGCGGCCGCCCGACTCCTCGGCCAGGCCTTCAGGGCTGTCTCCGGCCCCTGGGGCGCCCGAAGGCAGGGTGCATGAGGTTCTCCGTGATGTAGGCCACCAGTAGGCAGATGATCACGAGCATGACGCAGATGGAGCCCCCGACGGCCGTCATGGCGATGACGATATCCCTCATGCCAGCCGGCTCGGCCGCGAACTCCACGCATTCGGCGGGCGGCGGCGTCGGGGCCGGCGGGGCACCCGGAAGGGAGGGCTCCCGACGAGGCCGGCGCAGCAGCGGCTGCAGGCACAGGCGGTAGCGCACGCTGTCGTGCACGTCGGGGACCAGGTAGTCGCGGCAGGAGGCGCCGAGCTGCACGCGGTCGCACTGGAAGCGGGTGTAGCTGCCGTCCCAGGAGCAGTTGAGCGCGAAGCCGCGCAACTCGCGGGCCGGCGCGGCGGGCGGCGGGCGCCACTGCAGCAGGACGCTGCTGTTGCGGAGCACGTTGGCCACCAGCGTGCGCCCCGCCGAGCGGTACGCCTTGCACAGGCGCTGCTGGCAGCGGAAATCGGGCTCCGGGCTGCGGAAGCACAGGCGGCCAGTGCCGGCCTCCTGGCCTTCGCTCAGCACCTTGTAGGGACACCACGGGGGGTCTGGGCCGGGCTCCGCCTCGGGCTCCGGGCTGGGCTGCAGGGGCACCGATGGCACGGGGTCGCCGCGGGCGCGGGGGCGCAGGGCCAGGAGCAGCAGCAGCAGCAGCGGCGGCCGCAGCCGGGGCCAAGGCCAGGGCACCGGCCGGCGGGACGCGCTCATCGCGGCGGCGGGCTCAGCGGGAGGCGGGGGACCCCCGAGGCGGCGGCGCCTCGCGCCCTGGGCCAAGGTCACGAGGGCGGCGGGAGCGGCAGCGGTGACGGCGACGGCCGGCGCTGGGGCAGCCGCTGCGGCGCCAGTCTCCGGGCCCGGGTCCGCGGCAGCAGCTTCCGCGCCCCCGGGGCACCCCCCGGGGGGGGGGGGGGGGGGGGGGGGGGCTCCGCTCAGTCAGTGCCCCCGGCTCCCACGGTCCTGCATCCGCAGCGGAGTAGTCGTCTTGCTCTCCCCGCGCTCCGCTCGGCTCGCTCGGCTCGCTGCGGCGGCCGGCCGGCTCCCTCCTCCCCGCGTCGCCGCCGCCAGAGCCTGGGAGGCAAGCGCGTTGGCGAGGCGGGCGGGCAGACCGCTGAGCCCGTCCCGCGTCCCCTCCCCTCCCCTCCCCTTCCCTCCCTTCTCCTCCCCTCCTCTCCCTTCCGCTAGTCTCTTTTCCCTTCCCTTGGTCTTCCCTCTTCTTTTCTCCTCTCCCCTCGCCGGCCTTCCCCGCCGTCGCCAGCGCCCAGTGCGGGATCCCGAGCCGCGCCGCCGCGGTGGAGGTGGAGCCTACATTAACCCTAACGTAGCTCTGCTCCTTGGGGAGAGGGACAAGGTAAAGAGACCTGGAAAGGGACACCTCTGGAGGGCGCCACAGGTCTCGTCCCCTGCCCACGACAGCGCTCCTTGGGGAGAGGGACAAGGTAAAGAGACCTGGAAAGGGACACCTCTGGAGGGCGCCACAGGTCTCGTCCCCTGCCCACGACAGCGCTCGTTCGCGCTCTCTCTCACTCTCTCTCTCTCTCTCTCTCTCTCTGTCGGTGGAGAGTAACTGACCATATCAATCTACAAGTATTTATTAAGGGCTTACCATGTGCTGAGAACTGCGGCTGGGCATAGGAACTGGACTTGGGATTTTTGTGGTGAAAAGGCGAAGAAACTCCCTCTCCCTTTCCCCATCCTCCTTAATGCTAGTGACTCCCCCGGAGATTATTTCCAATTTATCCTGTCTCTAGCTTGTCTGTCCATAATTATTTGCATGTCCCTCCTCCATTAGCCTGTTAACTCCTTGAGAGCAAAGACCAAGTTTTCTGTTTTTGTTTTCCCTTTCCCTTTCTGTGTATCCTGCTGTGTTTAGCACAGTGCCTGACACATAGCAGGTGCTTAATGAATATTTGTTGAGGAAGGTCAGCAACTTACAGAGGACTGACCTGAAATAGTCCCTGCCCTATGGGAGCTTACACTTAACAGGGAGAAATAACATGTACACACATAAATAGATACAGAACAAAAAAGAGGTAAGGGGAAGACGGGAAGACGAGCTGCGATTGGGGGAGAGCAGGGAGAGGCCTCTTGTCAAAGGCAATCTATGTTTAACTGAACCTTGAAGGAAAATGGGCCTTCTAAGAGTTGGAGATGAGGAGGGAGTGCATCTCAGGCATGGAGGACCACCTGCCCAAAGGCAGATGTGGAGCTGGAAAGTGAACCTGCCTCCAGGAGCTGAGCTTTGAAGGATAATAGACAACTTTACACACAGTTTCATCTGGGCTCACTTTTTTTTTTTTCAACTCATTTTTGTGAGTTAGAAATGACAAGTTGTCTTATCTCCATTTGACAGATGAGGAAACAGAGGCCCAGAGAGGTGAACTGACTCACCCAAGGTCACACCACTAGGAAGTAGCAGAATTTGAACCCAGATCTTCCTGACCCCAAGTTCAATAGCACAGATATTGCCTAAGCTGTGTGACTCTGGGCATGACCCTTACCTTTTCAGAACCTCATCTGTAAAATGAGGGGTTCCTGGGGGATAGATCAAGCTCCTAAGATCTCTCCCAGTTCCAACCTTTTATGACTAATACTAAAATTTTATGGCTGAATTATAATCCCTCAGAGAGGCAGGAGTAGAGTAACATGACAAGAAAGCTGGCCTGCAGCAGTCCTCAGGGTAAGGAAGACATGAGTGACACTGATCCATACTGGCCGGGTGATCCCAGGCTAGTCACAATCTTCCTGAACTGGAGGCTGGCTCTCTAGCCACTGTACCACACTGCCTCTCACACGATTCCCCTCCAAAAATGACATTTTGGCTCAATTGGATGACCCAGCTTGTCCTGTCCTCTCAAACCCCAGGCATTCTCACTGGCTGTTTCTAACACCCAGAACGTGCCCCCTCCTCCTCATTGCTTGGAGCCCCAGACCAGGTGCCACCTCCTCCATGAAGGCTCTCCCAATCCCCTCACTTGTCAGTTTTCTCTCCAGCTCATTCCTTTGTGTTTTCTTAGACATGTATGTAAGGCTGTACAGCTCCTCCTGAAGAATGGAAGCCCTTTGAGGGCAGGGATCGTCTTGTTATCTTTGTGTGGTCAGTGCCTGGACATGTTGGTTGAGTTGAATTTCCATTACATTGCATTTTCTTCATCAAGAGAAACTTCCCAAAGGTTGGAGATAAAAGGTGGTGGGTGGTGGGGGTGAGGGGGTGGAGGGGTGGGGGTGGTGAGTGAGCCAGTAGCTAGCTATCCCCAAGAACAGGAGTTAAACCAGTCTGTGCTGGGAAGGAACCAGCCAGCCAGGAGGGGGCAAATGAGTTCTTTCAGGTCCTGCCTCCTCCAAGGAGTCTTCCCTGACTGCTCTAGTCCACTGTGATCTTCATCCCCTATGAATTCATAGTCATGAGATCCCAGGATATCGGAATTAGAGACAGTACAATTCAACTCATTTTACAGATAAGCAAAACTGAGGGTCCACTCAAAGTAACCTGTCCAAGGTCACATAGTGAGTAATGAACAGAGCTGGATCCATAATTCAGGCCTTCCAAACTACCCCTTATAACTAGCTCATTCACCATGCCCAGCCTTGTGACTGGCATCTCAGGCACTGTTAGCTCTGGAGTGTAATCTCAGTCTCCGCCCCCCCCCACCCCCCCCTAAATTGGGATTGTCCTTCCAGGTTCCCCCCCCCCCCCCCAAGCCTTTAAAAATGCCCTCAGTTCTTAGACCTCTTTTCCCCCTGAAATTGTCCCAGAGCATTTTGATCTGTCTCTTATCTGGATACATGTTTGATCTCTCCAGTAGGATGTAAGCTCTCTGAGAGCAGGGATGTTTTTTGTGTCCCCAGCCCATAGCATAGTTTCTGGCATTCAGTAGGCACTTAATGAATGTTTATTGGCTAAAATTTGTTGGACTGAACCTTACCACAAGTGGCTTATTGGTCCTCTGTAGGAAGTAGAGTAAGGGATTGGGTTTGACGTTTATACTCAGGAAACACTAAATGAATGAGTGAGTGAATGAACCAGCCAGCCAGTGCTGAGAAGCACCGGAAAAGTCCTTTAAGCTCTCTAGAGAGAGCTCCACTGTTTGCATCCCCTCAGCCTTGGTCCCCATCCAAGACGGTTGAGCCCACTCCCACCATCTCTGCAGCACTGCCCCAAGTGGATTCTGCAGACCTTTGGGGTGGGTCCTTAAAGTCCCTCTCCCTCAGCTGCCGATGCACTTCTTAGCTTTCCGAAAGCAGAGGCATGCAGGGGTGGAGGTGGAATATGAGCTCCCACATTCCCTCCATCTCCCCTAGTGCCCATGAAATCTCTGAGGAGCCTTCACAGTCAGAGCAGATTGGCTTATACAACTTGGAGAAGAGGACCTTGGCAGGAAAATGTGGCCAAAATAGAGTTCTAGGATTAACCCGGTAGATCCCAAGAGGCTAGATGTCTTAGTTTTACTGGAGGCTTTCTCCTGCAGTAAAGGGCCCAGAGGGGAAAATTACCTCCGTTTACCTTGGGGAGTATGTAACAGGACACAGGACTTTTCCCTATATAAATGTCATTGGTATTGTTACTGGGGGAACATAGGGAAATGAATCCACCTTTTATTCCAGAAAGATCTTAGGATTAGTCACTTCCAAACTGCATCAGAGAAGGACTTTGGGCATGATCACTGGATCAGAGATCTTGAGCTGAAAGGGCCTATCTAATCTAGTTCTCTCTGTCATGTTACAGATGAGGAAACTGAGGCTCAGGAAATTTATGTGATTTGCCCAAGGTCACACAGGTGAGCACTGGAGATGGAATCTGAGACAAGGTCCTCTGACTCCACAGTCCCTGTACCACAATGGCTTATGGGTCCCACCCCACTTTGCTGCTCTGGATGAGCTAAGGATAAGAAGAGCTCTGGGGAGGGGGAGGGGTCACTGCAGCTAAGCAGGCTGGGCACACCGTCCCTCCATCTCAACTGCCAAATGGCTGACTTCAAACTTCTGTCCCACTCTCTGTCTCTGGGAAAAATGGAAGAGCAGAAACAGTTCTATTATAGGGAAATTCCCCGGGGCAGCGAGGTGGTGCAGTGGATAGAGCACCAGCCTTGGATTTAGGAGGACCTGAGTTCAAATCTGGCCTCAGACACATAACACTTACTAGCTGTGTGACTCTGGGCAAGTCACTTAACCCCAATTGCCTCGGGGAAAAAAAAGAAAGGAAATCTCCCCCTCCCCCTGACACACACACTATAGGTGACAAAGAAGGATAATTCCCATTTTTTCCCCAAGAAAAACTCTGGACCTCTTAGTGATGGTGGAGACATTTGTGCCTATGTCACAGGGTACATGTCTCCTTCTCCCAGGTCAGTATCACCTAAAGACAGTGAATTTGACTCAAAATTTTATTTTCTGTGTGTACAAAATGGATATTAAGGCCTGACTATACATTATGTACAGATAAACTCTGATATACCTAGCCTCAGAATGTCACAAGTCAGGGCTGAGACTCCATTCAAGGCCAGACCCTCTACCCTACTGGGTCTTGTCCACAGAGAATCTAACTAAGGGTCTGACACCGCCACCTAAAATCTGACTCTCTCTATCCTGCTGGGCCCCTGGGGGTGGGGTAGAATGACAGTGCCACCCCCTAGACTCCAATCCCCAGAAAGTGACTGGAGGGGAGAGATGTCAGGGAAGGGAAATGGGGAAACATTCAGGAACCACCTTGGTCTCCCCCCTTAGCCCTGAGGACTGAACCAGGCTCTTACCTCCAGCACGCATTGGAGTTCTGGATTTGTCTCAGTCACAGAACTCTGACTTGGCCCTGTAGGGCTCTGTCCATCCCAGCTGGGGCTTCAATGAGCTTGGTTGGCAGAGGAAAGAAGCCCCTTTCCCCATGTTTCTCGTGTGTGTGTGTGTGTGTGTGTGTGTGTGTGTGTCTGTGTGTGTGTGTGTCTGTGTGTGTGTGTGTGTGTGTGTGTCTGTGTCTGTGTGTCTCTGTCTGTCTCTGTCTCTGTCTCTCTCTCCTGGTCTGAAGACAAGGCTGACCAGCTAGAACTTAAAATCATTACACTCCCTTCAACAGCTCCTGGGTTTCAGTTCATCCTCATCTCCAAAGGAGGCCTGAGTCATGGCATCCCTGCCCTATTTTACTTCTGAAAGAAGCCTTTAACTTTGAGGCCCTGAGCAGTCCAAATCCCAACATTAGAGACTTATAGGATATGGGTGGGTAGTGGGTCAGAGATAGCTGATATTTGAGGGCTGGAGAGCAAGGGGTAATGCCAGGGCTACAATGATCCCTTTCCTAGCTCAGCTGCTCTACTTAACTGTCCTGGAGAAATAAGTAAGGAATGTAAAATAATCTCCAGAGTGTGTGCTGGGGCAGGAGGGCAGGAAGTGGGCGTGGTGCCCAGACTGTGTGCTGGGGCAGGAGGGCAGGGAGGGGAGTAACCCAGACTGTGTGCTGGGGCAGGAGGGCAGGAAGG